CCCCCCCCAATGCTTTTAGCCTTTCCCCCAAACTCCCTGAAACACTACCCTGCCTCCTTACCCTCCCAGTCCCCCGCAAACATGCCATACCCCCAGATCCTGGGTGCGCAAATCATAACTGAGGGCACTTTCATGTTGGACAATGGTGTGTGTCTGTGGTCACAAACAGACCGGGACTGGATAAGAATGGTTTGTTTCCTTTCTTCAAGGGGCTTTACTCAACCATTTGGTTTCATAAAGACACCTGACATCTTCATGGTTACTGCTCCTCACCCCAGCTTCGGTTTTCCTGGATTTTTTTGTTTGAACAGAAGTGAAAAGTTCGAGGTATTCCACTGGGAACTTCTTGGATTGTAAGAGGTTTACTAACAGAGTCTTTGTGCTTTCTCACATTGTAATTACCGAGCAAGTACCATCGGCAATGGCGACTGTGAAGCTGGTGCCCAAGGAGAGGGATTGGACTGTGGTTATCACCAGCTGCCTGTTGTGCACCACAGCATTGATGGCAACTTGCCGTGCCCATAAGGTGAGCCCTAACAGCACCTGGTATACTACTGCATTGTAGGAGGAACGTTGCTGCATGAGAGAGAATACAGAGAACACTGAGAGAATGATAACGGGACTGGGAGGTTTAAGCAATGAGAAAGGATTGGAGAGATTAAGGTTGTTATTTCTGGAACTAAGAATGCTGAGGAGAGATTTAATTTGAGTGTATGAAATTGTCAAGGACCTGGGCCAGTACATCCCTAATCTTCTTCTGTTGTGAGCCTGTTTTAATGCTTGATGCAACCCTAATGTGAAATTTGGGGGCGTAGGAGAGAGAGTCATTGGCCAGGCTGGGTCTTTAACACAACAGGGATACTGACACAAAGAACAGTTCAGATACCAGACATGTTGCAGACTGAGAACTTAGTATACTAGACACTGGCCACATGCCCAAAAAAAATTGCCCACATTTAACGGGCTGTCACAGCCGATCCCAGGGTTGTCAAATTTTGGCTTTCCCTCCTGTCACTGGGTTAGAGCTTGCAAGCCCAGTTGCCCATTTGAGCCCATTATGGGACCCTGGGCTTCAGTAGTATAGATGAGAAGATCTATTCCCTACAGCAGAGAGGTCAGTAACCAGGCGACATAGCTTTAAGATGCTTCAGTATTGCTGAGCAAACACACATTTTATTAATAATTTTCATTTTGTACTCATCAGGACATCTTGCAAGAATACCAATTCAGGGGGAAAACCAATGTTTGTACTGTATGAGAGGAAAACGCTCGTTGGCAATTGAATCTGATTTACAGAGGCAATGCTCTGGAAAATGTACCCGTGAATGCCAGTTGACAGTTAACTGCCAAGATTCGTTTAAATTTTAAATCAAGTAGGTTGTTGGATTGGTCAAGGCATTACCCTGAGAAACGAATCAGTGAATGGATGTCGCCTATTGTGTTGAATTGGAATAGGCGCAGTGTGTTTACGTGTTCTTTCTTTCTGTAATGAACAGAATTATTACATGGAGCTTCCAGTACACACACTGCAAAACTGGTTGTCAGTGTAATTCTTTGCACACTCAGGATTATGCAGCAAATATTGTCCAGTTGCAGAATCACATTTGATATTTACAGGTTTTGCAAATGTAAGCTGATTGAATACAGTCAGTACCTTGCTTGTTATTGATAG